GAAGTTGTTAAACTGTTGTTCCATTTAGCTGTCTTCCTCGTCGTTAATGTCTTAACAGTTAAGAAAAGGCCTATTAATTGACTATCTGTTCGAAACTATAGCAATATGCCAAACAAACGTAAGCCTAATATAGTTTTAACGATTTAACATAAAGTTGCACAACCTAAATGAATTGATCCACGTTGATTAATTTGTTAACAAGACTACTCGAAATTAATTGAAATACTTATAAAGAAATTATGAAAAATATTAACTAGGTTTTAAATAAAAACAACAACATAATTTTAAGTTTTGCTTACAATCGTTTTTACCCAACTTTTGAAACTCGTGTTCATCAGTTCTCCTGCTCATACCTACACTCGTGTTCATCAGTTCTGCTCATACCTACACTCGTGTTCATCAGTTCTCCTGCTCATACCTACACTCGTGTTCATCAGTTCTTCTGCTCATACCTACACTCGTGTTCAACAGTTCTGCTCATACCTACACTCGTGTTCATCAGTTCTGCTCATACCTACACTCGTGTTCATCAGTTCTCCTGCTCATACCTTCACTCGTGTTCATCAGTTCTTCTGCTCATACCTTCACTCGTGTCCAGCAGTTCTTCTGCTCATACCTACACTCGTGTTCATCAGTTCTCCTGCTCATACCTTCACTCGTGTTCATCAGTTCTTCTGCTCATACCTACACTCGTGTTCATCAGTTCTTCTGCTCATACCTACACTCGTGTTCATCAGTTCTTCTGCTCATACCTACATAGATACCGAGAATATATGTACACGTACCTATTTGGCCTTTTAGGTGGTTTGGTAAAGCGTATAACCGCGTGGTGATTTTATGTTTTTGATATTAGCAACTCATGTTTTACAAGTACTTCCTGTTGCTCTTCTCTCATTTATTTTCATGTTGTGTGCTTTTCATTATTGGTGGTACTCCCAACCTATTTCACTTGTTTTTGTAACGCCTGTATACCTGTTTTCTACGCTTGACAGACTTACGTGACGGGTAAAGTACATAGCTGGTATGAACTGAGAAAATATAGACCATACTTGATAGACCGGACGTAGCCTGGTAGTTAACGTGTGGAGATGAGAATCAGAAGGACCAAGGTTTGAGCGCGCAACATGCCGCTGAACACGCTTTATACTTTCAGCCGCAATCACTTTACAAAGTGACAGTCAGTTCCGCTATTCGGTTAAGAGTATACATATACGCGACAGGTGTTGCCGACCGGTTGCCCTCTGGTTACCAGTTCTAAATTGAGGACAGCTTCCCATGAACGTTGGGGTCTCCGAGCTGGTCATTTAGCCCATCGCATAAGTTGCCATCCGTATTCAAAACACTAAGTACTATACGTAAATCTATCACTATCACAAAATATTATTACAATATTACCAAAGGCCGCCGGTGGCTCAGCGGTAAACTTGATAGCTTATAGTGCCGAAATACGAGGATCGATCCCTGCCGTGGACAGAATACGATAGCTTATTTGGCAGCTATACGTTTAACAACAAATAATGTATATTTATTTATTGCTCTATGCCTCCAATGGAGTTTAACTTAGACTTTTCATTACAACATTAAACTGCTGCCATTAATAACTACAGGGTGATTGTAGAGAGTACTACTGCTACTAATAACTACAGGGTGATTGTAGAAAGAGAACTGCTGCCACTAATAACTACAGGGTGATTGTAAAGAGAACCTCGTATTTAAAAACAATTATATCTTATAAAATTCCTTGCCCTAGATGAGCTGAATTTCGATAGATGGCATATTGAGAATGATTGACGCGCATTTTATTTAAATTACCGCTTTCATATTGTTGGAAAAGTGAGAAGAAAAGAAATAATGGCAATTCTAGTGTGCGATTTGTTTGTTTGTTGTCAAGCGGAAAGCTACACAAGGGGCTATCTGTGCTGTGCTTACCACGGGTATCGAAACCCGACTTTTAGCGTTATTAATATTTCGACTTACTGTTGAGCCACTAGAGGGCGCTAGTGTGCAAGAAAACTATTTACTTACGTAGTATAATGATTTTGAATTACACTTTACCGTGTTCAGACTTTCTTAAACAAAAACTTATCATCTTCTGAATACCTCTCGTGAAATTTAGTTCATTTAGAATAGAGAGTGTTTAAGATGTGTTCTTTTTAAATGTTTTTTTATGCTCATCTTCTACCTATGTGTAATTTTTTACAAAGTTTCAGTAAATAACAGATAAACCTCAAAAATCTACTTTTCCGTAGATACAGTTATATGTATATATAAAGCCAAGTCACTTTTAGTTTAGGGCTAAGCATGCAATAACTAATAGTATTAGGCCTTATATAATTAAACTGTTGAACTATTTTGAAGCCGACACAGTATATATATATATCACGTATATGTTTGTATTTTGGGTAACATTTTAGGATTGTGCGTTGAAAAATAGGATGTGTACAGCGGATCGGATACAACGTTTATCAAAAGTCTAACAGTTCGCAAAATGCAAGTTATCTTAATTAACTAAATCTAAGTGATAATTAAAGCTTCACTGGGGGCTTTTAAACCCAGCTTTGTCACAAGTCTAAACTAAAACATATTTTCAATGTCATATCCTATAGTGCACGTGGCAACAACGTTCTAGTACAAGGATCAATGGAACATTAATTCTTAACCTGATATATTCCTTGAACAAAACAACATTCCAACCAACCATCATTACCGAACATGAAAGTCGTAGTGTTACACATAGTAACATATTCCTTAAGCAGCACAAGTTCCAACCAATCGTCTTTATCGAACATGAAAGTCGTAGTGTTACATATAGTAACATATTCCTTAAGCAGCACAAGTTCCAACCAATCGTCATTACCGAACATGAAAGTCGTAGTGTTACATATAGTAACATATTCCTTAAGCAGCACAAGTTCTAACCAACCATCATTACCGAACATGAAAGTCGTAGTGTTACATATAGTAACATATTCCTTAAGCAGCACAAGTTCCAACCAACCATCATTACCGAACATGAAAGTCGTAGTGTTACATATAGTAACATATTCCTTAAGCAGCACAAGTTCCAACCAATCGTCTTATCGAACATGAAAGTCGTAGTGTTACATATAGTAACATATTCCTTAAGCAGCACAAGTTCCAACCAATCGTCATTACCGAACATGAAAGTCGTAGTGTTACATACAGTAACACAATATATTCCTTAAATAGCACAGTATTCCAATAAATTGACCTTAATGAACACTAATCATAATGTTACGTTGAGTAAATGAGTAGGTAATGTACTATTGTAAACTATAAGAACACTGATAAGAGAATAAAATAAAATAGTGGATAATGTCTATAAGAACACTGATGAGAGAATATAATAAAATAGTGGATAATGTCTATAAGAACACTGACAAGAAAATATAATACAGTAGTGGATAATGTCTATAAGAACACTGACAAGAGAATATAATACAATAGTGGATAATGCCTATAAGAACACTGACAAGAAAATATAATACAGTAATGGATAATGTCTATAAGTACACTGATAAGAGAATATAATAAGATAGTGGATAATGTCTATAAGAACACTGACAAGAGAATATAATAAAATAACGACTCTCTTTGTTTGTATGTATTGCAACATACAACAACAGGACATTGGAACCGCAATGTCCTATGACTGTGGGCAAACATTAGCCCATGTCTGGATAATGTTGTCGTCATTTACTGCTGAGAAACATCGCTATATTTACCTATATTTATATATAATGCTGTTGTATATACATACTAAATACTTAATGTATACTAAATTTTTGTATAGTTTTATATATATGTATGTATACTAAATTTCTGTATAATTATATATATTGATATGTATGTATACTAAATAGTTGTATAATATTGTTATATATATTGATATGTATGTATACTAAATAGTTGTACATATAAATATTGTTATATATTGATATGTATGTATACTAAATAGTTGTATAATATTGTTATATATATTGATATGTATGTATACTAAATAGTTGTATATATAAATATTGTTATACATTTATTTGGGTGTGTTATACTCAATCTTGGCATTTGGTCATTGTCCTAAGGAAATTACAATAAAGTGCAATAGCTCCAAGTAGAATTTGCACAAACACTTAATGTTAAATGTAAAGTTAAGTTATCATGTGTTGCTTCAGAATTAGCGAGTTTGACAAGAACATAATTTATCGATAAAAGGTTATTTGTGATTGTCGCCATTCGAGCACTTCTAGGAATATACTGACCATATCGAAACGGTCAATTCAATGATAAAACATGCTGACGGCCGAAGATTGTCATTTCGCGGATTTCATAATTGTCTCCTAATAGAAATAGAACTAGAATGTAAAATCGATGAAGGAAGATTGAATAGCATCAGGCCAGTGTCCAGTGGAGAATAATTATACCTGTAAAATAAGAACTATTTGGTTAAGTGATCTGTAATATAACAACCTTATTTCAATATAAGCCTTATATTCACATTTCTCTAGTGTATGAACTGATATAATGTAGAGGATTTACTCCATATATATATATAAATTATAAACAAATGTTACGGACGTTCAAGACTGAGGACTGTTGAATACATGCTATAATCCGCTCTGTTAAAGCCTCCCAGTGGCACAGTGGTATGTCTGCGGACTTACAACGCTAGAAACCGGGTTTCGATACCCGAGGTGGGCAGAGCACAGCTAGCCCATTGTGTACCTTTGTGCTTAACTACAAACAAACAAAAGCTCTGTTGAAGATTTGCAAGAATTATTAACAGGACCGTTTCATGGTGGGTCAGCGTTAATTTTACGAACTAACAACGGTAAAATTTGGAGTTCGATCCTCGCGGTTGACCGAGCGCAGGTAGCCCAATGTGCTAAAAAACAAAATATTAAAAGGACTAAGCCTATAATGCTTTATTTCATCATGCAGATCTAAATAAATTTCAAAACGTTTTCTTATATCTTTTAATTCAGCTTTGACGTTGAAGATGGCAACTCCCAAAACAGAGCTCTTTTGGATGCCACAAGTCCGTCTTCAGGCTTGGTTCTTCAGTCCATGCCACAACGCAGAGAGTCATTTCTGTACAGGTCTGACAGCGAATTCGAGATGTCCCCCAAGTCAGTGTCACGGCATTCCTCAATTGGCAGTGAATCGTAAGTAACGATCTCTTTTTCGTATTATTATTTTGGTTTGTTTTTTGAAAAGACAGTCATCATCTGATCGAGTGAAACCTGATAGTTGACGATATTTTAAGCAGAATACATAGAAATTGATTCCGGAAAGATTACATTACGTTTTGGGAGAATTTCATTCTTCCGGTTGTCGTAAAAAATGTACTCTGCACATTGGAATCGTGGGTGTGTTATAAGAGTAATGGTCAAATCTCACTGTTGGTGGTGGGTGTTGTTAACTAGTTGTTCAGAGACGATTGTGTACAGATAACTTTTGTGTAGAAAAAAAAGCGATGTTTATGTTACTGTTTATAAAGTGTGGTATATTTATTTAAGCCTATAACACCCTATCAGTGCATTCTATGCTGTTAATGCTGAACGTTAGTTCCGACAAATAATTTATTAACTACGTTTCTCTGCAACGGTTTTTAAACCAGATGAATAAACACACACACACACACACATATACATATATAACTTGGGCATTCTTTCTGGTTATTATGAAGGAAAGAGAACGTGTTTCTTGATTGATCACCTTATACTTGTCGCTGTTTTACTTTGTGACGTATTGATGAATAATCTAACGACACTTTGTCTGGTGTTATGGAAGTCGGTTTCTGATTTGCATGATGAGATCATCCTACATAACAGATTTCACAACTTTATGGAAACCACCTAAACAGTCTTTAAATCAACAGCATTTCACAGAAGAGAAACAAGAGCTAATAAGATACAATGAGCCAAAATGTGATGCAGTCTTAGCACTAAAGTATAAGCTGATCTAAACTTTCACTGGTGCCAGTCTGGTGGCCAAAATCTAGATCATTCCTATATGTTTTTGTACTCTGACTGTTGCCTCTTATCATTGAGTATTCAAGAGAATTAAAGGAATCTGGATAGTCGTGTTATCTTCATCTTACGTTTCTCAAGTGAAATACAAATCGTTCTTTAGGACCTGCTTGACTGTTACTCTAGGACTAATGTTTGTTTCGGATCACGCAAAGCTATCTACGCTAACTCTCCCTAATTTAGAACTGAAGGTAGTCAACAGTATTAAAGGTAGTTAACACACTAGAGGGCAGACAACAGTCTAGAGAGTAGTCAATAATTTAGAGGGTAGTCAACAGTATAGAGGGTAGTCAACACGCTAGAGGGCAGACAACAGTCTAGTAGTCATCAATTTAGAGGGCAGTCAAGAAACTAAAGGGTATACAACAGTTTAAAGGGTAGTCAATCAACAGTCAAGAAGGTAGTCAACAGATTAGAGGGTAGATAACAGTCTAGAGGGTGATCAACAGTATAGAGGGTAGTCAAAAGTTTAGAGATTAGTCAACAGACTAGAGGGTAAACAACAATTTAGAGGGTAATCAACAGTCTAGAGGGTGATCAACAGTATAGAGGGTAGTCAAAAGTTTAGAGAGTAGTCAACAGACTAGAGGGTAATCAACATTTTCCAAGATAGTCAACAGTATAGAGGGTAGTCAACAGACTATAGGGCAGACAACAAAATAGAGGATAGTCAATAGTTTTGTGTCAATGTGACGCGAACCATGGATTTCCGAATTCACAGTCTGGCACGTTCACTGACCTTAAAATAATGACCTTACGATTTAGGGGCAAATAATTTTTGTCAAGAACGTTTCTATATATAAGAAAGTTGCCATTTAATTAACTAAGTACTTTTAAAAACTAGATTTTTTTTATTTGTTGTTCAGCAGGAAAACTAAAGTATATCAACGTTTGCAAAGATGAATATTTCTAGAATATAATACTTTTGTGAAAATCTCCAAGCAATATATTATTATTAGTAAAGGTACACTAATTCCAAAAACTACTGGAGATTGCATGAATAAAATGGCATTTATACAAATGCATTTTAAAGAAATTTTCAATCACATAAATCGTTTTCTTGTGAATTTTAATAATGAGACACGATATTTAATTTAGATATAATAAAAAATAATGATTGGACATTTGACAAAGCTTCAGTCAGTTTTTAACTTACCAAATATTTGGGAAAGAAAGGATTAGATCAGCCACATTTCAGATAATCTGGTATCATGTTGCCTGGGCTTCATGACACGTTGAGTGAAAACGTTCATAACAATAGAAGTTAATTTATAGTTAAAAATATATAAATAATACTAATTAAAATAAGAAATATGTGCAAAGATTTCATGTAACGTGTACAAAACGGCGATTATCTACATAAGCTTTTAGAAGTTTGCAATTACATGTATGGTAGAAATTTGTTGATTTTCCACCATTGTTTGAAAATAACCCTTTGTCCTTTGTTTGTTTCTTAAGAATTTCGCGCAAAGCTACACGAGGGCTATCTGCGCTAGCCGTCCCTAATTTAGTAGTGTAAGGCTAGAGGGAATGCAGTTAGTCATCACCACCCACCGCCAACTCTTGGGCTACTCTTTTTTACCAACGAATAGTGGAATTGACCATCACATTATAACGCTCCCACGGCTGAAAGGGCGAGCATGTTTGGTGTGACGGGGAGTCGAACCCGCGACCCGCAGATTACGATTCGAGCGCCCTAACCACCTGGCCATGCCGGGCCTATAACCCTTCTATTGAATTTTTCTTGATGATGGGAGTTAAACCTAAACCTTACATTATGAGACATGTGGGCTAAACGACCAGGTCAGAGACCCTTAGGGCCAGTTACAGTTATCCCTAATTCAAAACTGCTGATTAAAAACACGACAAACAGTCAGCAGCACGTGCCGCCCAAGTGGTTGCTTTTAACGGAATGATGGAATTGGATGTCATGGTTATAAAGCTCGCACATCTAAAAATGCGGTGCATTTCAGCGGTATATCACAGATTGAATCCATTTCAGCGGTATATCACAGATTGAATCCATTTCAGTGGTATATCACAGATTGAATCCATTTCAGCGGTATATCACAGATTGAACCTTGAGTCTTTTGGTCCATAGCACGGTACTCTATCCAGTTGGTCACACCCGGTCAAAAATAACTACTCATAACATGTTCATTCAGCATAATAACGATCTGCCTAAACATTTTATTAACTTTTATTGTTAAAAGCAAGAGGGAATGATCAATAGCCACGGCAACACTTGAAATTCATGTAGGCAGGATTAGAGTAAATTAATCTACGAGACCTTTTTTTCCTTTTTATTTGCTATATTTTTATGCGCCAGCAATACCAAGCGTAGGGCGCGCATATATCCGATTCGATTTTACTACTCATAAGGGTCTCTACCAGCCTACCCTCAAATTGAAATTCTTTTAGGCAGGATTAGAGTATATTAATCTATGAAAACTTGGGCGTGGTCAGATATATCAATCGAAAGGGTTTGACCTCCTGAGTAGAAAACCGTAATTAGATCTCAAATCGGTCAAGAGATGACGGAGCTATGAGCTGAAAGTTTGTATTTGAAACAACGAAACACAAACTCAGAGCTATTGTATGAGCCGCTATACCAAAGCTAGAAAACACTTACTCACAGATGTTATAGTTTATACAAACGATAAATCATACATTATTCAATAACATCTTTAGAGGAATGACTTAATACTTGTAGGGTCTTTATAACATAATATGAAATCAACATATTTTGTAAACATATATGGCGTTTTTAGTTGTCATTGTCTCATCACGGTGAACCAATATTTTATGGGACTTTATGAGTATGTAACATACTTACTACTAATTTATCCTTCTGAATCATTCAGCAGAAAAGATGTTTTAGATACTGATGAGGGGGACTGATGAGAGGTGAAAGTCACTGAAACCGGTATAACCGGTGACAAGTGGTGAATCGAATAATAGGTTGGTTTTCATATTTATTAACAAGCTAAAAAAAAACCACAATTCTAGTGTAAACAATGTTATTATTAACCCCCTTGATGTTAGCTTTCTTACAGAAATTTGGTGTTCCTTCAAACAGCTTAAGTACAGGGTGAAACAGGCATTATCAGCCAATAATAGATGAATATTGGATAACTGTAACATGTAGAATACTCAATGTATTGTACACTATACAATCGGTGTCTTTCGGGAGCGAACACATATATTATATATGAAGTAAAGGAGTAAACAAAAATCAATACACATAATATTAAATTTTATTACACTAGCTTTCAGTCAGGGGAAAAACGTCACAAAAAAAGTAATAAAAAACATTTTGTAAATGTAAAATGATGTATAGCTGGCAGTGTCAAAAAATGCAAGCATCAATATATGGATGATACAGCTATATACTTTTATATGTTCTTTACTTACTGTAGGTTCCTCAACATTAAGTCACAAGAAGTCAAGATTATGACCAGTAATAATTAATAATCTATTATAGCTAGTTCTACATAATATATAATATCAATATCTGGGATCATTCTATATCCTGTCCTTCGGTTGGACAGCGATAATTTTTCGTATTTATAACGCTAAAATCAGGGGTTCGATTCCCCTCGGTGGACGCAGCAAATAGTCCGATTTGGCTTTGCTATAAGACCCCCCTCCCCCCACACACACACTTATAAACCTACTTCAATAAAAATTGCTTAAAAAGAAAGAGGGAAACAAGTAATAAAAAATTAAGTATGATGTGGGGATAGTAATGCCAAAAAAAATTGCATAAACAAGGTAGGGATGAATACATAAAACCATACAAAAATCACTACATAAGTAGCCAAATCTTTCCAAGAATAACTTTTATCTATAACTAAATGTTGAATTCCTGTCAGTTGCATGAATTCAGGTTTGAATAAAAACATTTAAACTGAATAGTGCTATGCAGTCTTGCAGT